TTTGAGCCTATATATATATATATATGTTTGATGTGCGGTGAGCTAATTTATCAAACCTAACAACTGCTAAAACATCAAATTATGGTAATGAAGTGACTATTCGGACTCGAGTCCAAATAGACAAAAATTATATTTGGACTCTGAATTAAGTCCAGCACGGCGTCCATTCCGACTTTCGACCCGTGTTTTATGAATTTGTTTTCTATTATCATGATACCAATCGAGACGTGAGCTTTAACATCCAGTTACTAGATCTATCTAAACTGGCCCTCCCTGCATATGAACAGAACAACCAAGTTGAGTTGACCTTGCCGGGGGGAAAAGTTAATTATGTTGACCAATGAGATTGCGCGTAGCGATATCGCACTCTCAGTTTGCTAGAAAGAGGTGTTGGGAAGAGGCCATGGTTGTCGGTTGTGAGCGATGTGATTTTAAAAAATACTTAGAGAAAAACTATAACTCACAACACGATGAAATTAAACATGCGGAAAGACAAATGTGGTGGAAGTAACGATGATGCTGAAGTGATGGTGGAAAGACTCACCGTCGGTGAGTACTTAGACACTGCCATAATTGGGTAATGCCTCACAGTCAAGTCTTTCGACTTTTGACACACAGTCCTAGTAGTAGGTAGGCCTAATTCTAGTTCTAATTCAGGCTTTATGTAAAAATCCCCCGACAACAGAGTTATATGTAACCTCCTTACACTCACATTCACTAAGAAGCTGATATAAAACATTTTTTCTGACCCGAGTCCGAATAGATAAAGGGGAGTGTATACAGACCCTGTAACCGGGAACAAAGTCACAAAGTAAACAGACCCGGTACAGGTTCACTCTTTTGTGATTTCGGAAAATTTCAGCGCCCTCTTGTGTCAGGGTAGACCTAGGTTCTTCTAGATCTATGGCCTAGGTCTAGATATAGACAGACAGATATAAATCATTTCTAGTTTTGAGGCTAGCCTAGATCTAGACATCTAGTTATAGAATCTAGATCTAAATGAAGATTGCGGATGTTTTTTCCTCCGTTTTCGAGTTGGAGGAATCACAATTGGAAGAAAAGAACAATGTCATAATTTCAATCGAGCAGTCACCCTCTCTATTTCTCTAACCCCCCCCCCCCCTCTCCTGTCTGTGTGTGTATCGTTAGCATTCTCTTTTTCTTTGTTTGTCTCTGTCTTTCTTTCTCCCCACCTATTTCCTACTCCTATCTTTCTTTCGTTCCCTCCTGCCAACTGGCGCATGTCATATTTTGCTAGCACTTCCCCCCAGCTCTCACTCTCTCTCTCTAACACACATACACACACACACACACTACCGGGTCGTGACTTTGTTCCTGGTTACCGGGTCGGTATACACTTCCATACCTGCCAACACTGCCTGGGCCAAAATCTGTAGTTGGACGCAAATTTTTGTCCAAAAATCTGTAGTTGACCTAAAAAATCTGTAGTAGGCTATATTACCTCTTGTCGCATACTTAATTTGGGACCCTTATTAATATTTTATTTTGACCCACATCAAATATGCATGATTGTGTTTGCGACTTCAAACAAATGTAGAAAATGACTAAGAAAAAAAATTGACTATATGAAAACTACCAGAGGCATTTACCCTATTAGTAGTTGGTGCAGTTCCTGTCCTATTCATACCTGCACGAACACACACACAAATGAAACCAAAAAACAACAACCCCCCCCCCCCATCAAAAAAACAAAAACAGACGCAAAGAAGAAAAGATGAAGAGAAGGTGGGCCTTGGATGACTTAGGCCTAGCCTTGGCCTTTTGTCTTTGCAGAGTTTACAAGGAAAGAGTATGACGGATCCCGAGTCCACACAAGGCCTGCACCAACACGCGTTTAAATGCCGTTTTGCAGAGAGTTTTCTAGATCTAGAGGTAATCAAAAATTTAGAATACTAAAATTTGCTTCCAAGTTCAGTTTTTGTCCCCTGGTGTTGCCTTCACCTCCCCCCCCCTCCCCCGAGTGTGTATCTTTAAAAAAAATAATCCTCCCCCCATTCCGGAGTCCTATACTACGCAGCGCTCAGACTTTGAATGAACTTTGGTGACCCCTACAAGTGCCGGTGCTCACAATGTGATGGAACGCGCAAGTTCATTGACGGTCACAATGGTGAACCCGACAAGACGCTTGTATTGAACTATAACTTTCTTTTCTTTTCTTTTTTACAAGTGACAGCACAGCACAAATATTGATTTATTTTCAAGGCGACACAGCGTTTGCCATGCACAGTCTGCATGTTGTTACAATTAATGTTGCGTTATCAAACTACTACCAGCAAATTTCTGGGTGGTAACGAAAGTGAAAGTATATCTTGATTATCCCGATCAAACGTCGGTATCACACCCGCTTGCCACCATAGCCGCCTGTCTGCGTGAAGAAACATACTCTCGAGGGAGCCGAATGAATCACAATCGCGACCGGCAAAAATGAACTTTCGGGCGTTATCGGATTTGGTTTTCAAATATTTGATAACTTTCTCAAATTCCCGGGGCCTGGCAGTCACCCTGCTGAATCCCGAAGTCGGTGGCTTCATCTCAAAATCGGTGGATCGGTAGTTTGACCCTAAAGTCGGTGATCTACCGATTTTTTCTGTAGGGTTGGCAGGTATGCACTTCGATAGATAAAAACCCATATATTCGGACTCGAGTCCGAATAGATAAACAATGTAATCGGACTCGAGTCCGAATTGAGCTGGCCTTATGGTAAAATTCAGGGGGGCATGCCCTAAAACCCTAAAACCGACGAATAACAATTGCAGGGTGGGAACTACCTAAAAAAGCGAAACAAGTCTATCTGTATTCTGTATGTGTCTCAAGATACACTACTAAAGATCTTAAAATTATAACATTCTAGATCTAGCCTCTGGGTTTTAAGCTTATTAATTTTTTTTTCTGATTAAGCAAGGCTAGGGTAGGTTATAGAAAAGTTAGAAGGAATAGCACAACAACTTACTCTGCTTGAGCACAGCATCACGAGCCTTGGTGTCGTGAACAAATGGCTCCGGGGGTCGTCGATAGTCTGTTGCGAAAGGATTCTTCCCGGCTTTTTGTCCACGAAAAAACACAGATAGAAAGAAAACAAATACGTACAGCAAGAAACCAACTATCAAGATCGATGGGTGACTTAACAAAAAGTCAAACACATCCCGCATCCCTATGTCGATAGACATTTCTACTGAACTGTCGTGCTCACTGCAAACAAAACAAAAGTATCGGCACACTACAGTAGACTACAGTACAGCCTATGACTTCTGACCGGTGAGCAGAGAGCACGGGTTCCACGAAGCGTCGAAGAACCGAGCGTCGAATCAGAACGAATAAATACTGAGTTTTAGGCTAGTTCTTGCCCTCACCAGAGTCTACGTCTGACGATACAGGTGGACTTTGATCACAATTAAATTGGCTTCAGCGGCTTGAGATAGCATTCCATGGATCCTGCCTCGCGTCGTTGGAGGTAGAGACCTATTATTGGCAAGGCCTAATTTAGGCCCTGGTTTCTGTTTACGAATAGAATTACCTCCCCTTGAAATGCAATTCAAAGACATCTCTACTTGTAAATCTATCAGGCCGCGTTGCGTCTGTTGGTTCGGGAACGAGAAAACAAGGGAGGGAAACTCGACTGCCATAGGTCTTGGCAGGCAAATGCTCCTTGCGAAGCATTCTTTTACAAGTACAATTTGATAAAACGGCCATCTGACCAAGACAGTCGCTTGTACAAACGACTACTTTGAACTTCTCCTCGCGTTTTCTTGATACTCTCCAAGACGTTCATACGTCTAAGATAACCATGTCTTTTTGTTCCCCCAAAGATGGCCGCCTTTGACAGTTTCGACCGAATCAATTATACCGTGGCGTCCAAAAGAAACTTGAAAATGCAATCACCAAATCATCGCGTTAAATAAAGAATTGCAATACCTACTCATGCAGCATACCAAATTTAAAGCTAGATCTAAATAAATTCTGCATCATCTGACGCGTTAATAACTCATCTATGTTAAAGGACACCCGAGATATGATGGTCTTTCAAAATTGACCTTTAAAGACCAGGCTTGGCAAAATTGTGCAAAATCAAAGAAACGCAAAATTGTCTTCGCGCGTGTATGACTAGCCTATGAGGAACATCAATATTGATAGAAACGGACCTACGTTACATAAACTATACAATGCATACCGGTAGTGAATTTTGTTTCTGCAATAGATTCTAAACAATGTTATTTTACGATATTTTGTCACGATAGTTACAAACAAAACGGAAAACAGAACAATCACAAATACCACTCAAAACTTGGACTTAACATTAAATTTTGCTCATTGCTACTGTACTTAGGAGCCATTTGCTTAGTGTAGTGTATGAATCCTTTGTGCATCGACTCTATTAAACTTTGGACATAATCATCTGTCATTTCCTTCCAAATTTCACAGAGAGTTGCATACAAAGGGTCTGAATTGGGAGCAAAGTCGCTTTTCTTTAGATGCCGTTTCATAGGACTTCACATACCTGTAGGATTTATATCATGGCAGTTTAAAGGTCCCCACTCCAATGTTGATTTGGTTTGATTTTCCAAGGATTGTCCAGTTTCCTTGGCGCTGTGAGAAAATGCTTTGCTATGCATGAAGATGTCTACTTGAATGATACCATGACGAAAATAAGGGTAAGACATGACGTTCCAGCACTTGTGCGATGTAGTCCACTAAACCAAGCGATCCGGTAATTCTCACGAGGGTGGTTTTGTTCATTCTACCCCTGACCACCCAAGACCATGGCAGTTTTGTGGCCTCTGTTCCTCACTGACAAATGATTATGTCCAAAATCTATCTAAAACAGGCCATGTGAAAAAAAAATTACGAGCTCACCACGAAACCAACAACTCTTAAACAAAAACAAAATTAAAACTAATGACCGCGTGTAGCTGTTAAGTCCAGGTTTTGTGTGAGTGGGTGGTTGGGGGGTGATCTGGTGTGGTTTGCTTCTTCTTTCCTATCAAACATCTATCGTCTTTAGCCCCCCTCCTTCTTTTTTGTGTTTGTTACTTTCTTGTAACATCTCTAATCTTCGGCTCTTACACTTTTTATAGTATGACCCTATTGTGTTGCAAGTGCCGTAAAACACTAACTAAAACTAACGTTTTGTGTGGCATTTGTTGTAACTGCTCTGTTTTACAATCTACATTGTATTTGAAAATATCATCAGAAGATGCTATCAATTGCATAGACAATAATAACATTCTTTTTTTTTCATTTGATATTCAATACATTCCCCTTGCACCAATGTTGATGAACCCAATTTAACGAGCGAACACATTTTTTTAGTCTCTCTGATTTCGAACAATTTGGCCAAGACTGATTTTTTAAGGTATGTTTTGAATGACCATATCTCGGGTGTCTCTTGACATAAATGAAAGTTTAACATGTCACATGAAGCAGAATTTAATTAGCTTTAAATTGGTATGCTGCATGAACGGGTAGTACAAGGTTATAACACGATGATCGGGTGATTACATTTTCAAGTTTCCTTTAGACGCCGCTATATAAGCCTATCCTAAATATCACAACTTTTGAAATTGTTCGATCTTTTCATCTTTTCTTATGTGCTTAGAAACAGGATTCACTGCTTTTTTAGATACATGTTTTACCTTGTACTGTTTTCTTCACGTACAAAAAAAAAATAACCCCTTACATTCACTTTCCGTCACAATGGGATCGAGAAGTGATTGGAGGACCTTTTCTGAATCTGCAATAGAGACTGTTTGTCACCGGCATATCCGATGTGATTACTTTTTTTCACTTTCCACTTTGAGATCTTTACATTGTTCACATTTCTAAGGATTGTTTCACTTTTTATTATGTTAAAGAGATCTGGTGATGTAACGCATTCTTGCCTAACCGCCCTTTTCAAAATGCTTAAATTAATAGCGCCTTACCTCAATTCTTACTGCAACGTTTTAATCCCAGTCAATTCCTAATGATTGTTGGAACTTTTCCATCCATGTCTAGCTCCTGCAAAATTGTTAATAGGAGGACAAACTTTATCAGAAGCCTTTAGATAATCTATGGATCATAATTGATAAATATATGTCTGCCCTCCAGTACATCTTTCCCTAAACTGTGTTGGGGTGAATGTAACATTTCTGATACCTTTGTCAAAAAACGGAACCTACGTGTGTTTTGAATATCTCTGGTCTAAGACTTTCTGATTCTTTCCATCAGAACTCCAAACAAAATTTAAAAAAATTAAAAATAACTCATAAGGTTCATATTTCTTCAATGCAGCTCGTGCCCAAGAGGTTAAGGTGTTCGTCTCTTATTCAAAGGTTCCGAGTTTGAATCCGGAAGCGACGGAAATATTTTCTTCTCTAAAATTGTCACCATTCACCTCTTTTCCTGCTCTCAAGCAGTGATCTGTCGTTTGCTTTCGTCTCTACTCTCTCTCCCCACCCCCTCACCTCCTTTACCCCTTCCTCTGGGCTCCTGGCTCTTTCTTCATTTTTTCTACTGTTACTCCTTGGCTCCTTCCTACTGCTGTTTTTCAGCAACACTCCTGATCTTCTGGTGGGAAAGATCTACACTTAGCCTCCTCGAACAAGGACGGAAAATTTCGGAGGTCCCGTGTGCAAGTTGCGCACATTAAAGATCCCTTGGTGATTTAAAATCGATTAGAGTAGGCTTCGGCTGCCACCCGGGCAAAATTCAAAATTTCTTACAAACTGAAAATGTTTAAGGTGTCCCACGCGCTCATATGACCTTATGACCTTGCAAGCGCCGTAAAATATTTACCAAAAAAAAGAGAAACAGCTGGGTAGGAGAGAGAGAGAGAGAGAGAGAGAGAGAGAGAGAGAGAGAGAGAGAGAGAG